TTACCGAGCGTACTAATTAATAATTAATTATATAAATAATGATGAATAGAGTTTTTGTATTTTACAAGGGATTAGTAAATATTACTATAACTTTTGTTGTCCTAATTAAAATATCTAGTAAGAATTAATTATATTTGTACATATATTTAAGAGTTGAAATTTTATCAGATTGAAAATAATAATATATGATTGGGGTTAAAAAAAATAAAAGTATGAAATAGATGCATATAAATTTTTTAAAAGTATTCAATGAATAATAACTCTTTAATTATTAAATGAATATTTTAATGTTAAAAATAATTAATATATTAATATCTATTTCTAGTATTATAATACAGTGAGTAGATTTCATTCAATACATATTTAAATTTTGTTTTCTATTTTAATATTGGATCTTAAATTGAAATATTATTGATTAAAATATAATCAAGCATTAAAAACAACATGAAATCACTAACTTTCATAAGAGAAGAAAATTATGTATATAAATCATCAAAATACATCCAATCACAACATGAGAAAAAAATGAAAGGGGATAAAAATAATATCTCTCAACTCCTCTACTACGTATTATCTCTTCCTTTGTTAGTTTATTTCTTTTTTTTCCTACTTTCTATTTTTTCTTGTTTCTCTTTTCTTTTAAAGTGTGATTTAGTGAATTATCATTTAAGTAAAAAACAATTTATTCAAGCGAAAAAAGTACTTCATGCTAAAAATATATATTCTCACCCAAACTAAAAATATTTTGCTTGAGGAAAAAAAATTAAATAGTGGTTTATTTTTGTGTTCCTTTAACAAAAATGATAAAAGAAAGATTTTATTTTTGTCTCTTAGTCAAAATAATTATTTAATTTAAATTTTTTTAAAATAAAAAAGAATTGAAATTAAATTTTAATTCATAAAAAAATTTAAATACCTTAATTCATATTAAAATTTATTATAACTTAACATTTATCGATATCTCTTTTGAAAAATAAAAGATATATTAAAAGTAATATTTTTAAGTACACAATATTTTATCTTATTTTCTATTTTTTTATGTAAAAAGTATTTAAATATTTAAATATTAAGTAACATAATTAAAAAAATAATAATTAATTTTATTATAATTTTTAAATAAATAGATAAATAAAGGTGTCATCTTTTAAAAATTTATACATAAAAAAAAGGTATATAATATAACATGTGCCACAATTTCTGGTAAAGTGGCCCGTTAAATGGTGACGTAAGGGACTCAATTTCTGAATCCTTGAAATTTGTAGTAGACTTGGTTAATTTGAGTTAAATCAAATAAAGTTATATCAGATGATAAATCTTTCTTAAGTTTTTTTTTTTTTTTTTTCATTTTATAAATCAAACCTAGGACTTTACCTAAAGGACTAGGTTTCATATCTAACAACCATTGAGATACATGAAATTAAGTAGCCATATAATGTAATAATAAATCGATATAAGGGACTCAAGTGAGTGTCCAACTAATCTAATCTTATATGAAACTTAATTTGTTTTACCCACTTGATACAAATAATAGGTATATACATCTCTAATTACAAAAATAGAATTTGAGTATATTCTCCATCTCCGTTTATCTCTTAAACCAAAACATTGGTCAAAAGAACATTTGAACTTTGAACTATTCCTATCTGAACATCTTTCTCCTCCCCCCACTTAGGTTTTTGCTCAGTTTTTATTTATTTTTTGGCTTTTGAAAACTTTGCCCTTTTCAACGAACATACCTCATGAATGTTTCTATTTAACTTGACATTGAAGGAAGAAACTGTGAAGTCGCTGATCATTTATATTTAAGCTTAATACAGTAACACATTTTTTTAATCTTCTCATAATTTTTACTTTTTTTTTCCTCAAAAGAGTAATATTTGCTGTTGTATGTGTTCATTATATTTCTAATTTGATTTTTTTAATAAAAAAATATATCAAATGAATATAATTAACTACAAAGGAATAGAATTATAAGAGCACAAAAGAATTTACTTTATAGTACCTTTTTCAAATATTAATTAAAACATTAAAAATAAAAACTATGTGACTGTCACTTTATTTTTTTATGATTCTGTAATTTTTAATACATTTTAATTAATAATAAATATGTATTAGTAACGTTTTTCATTGTAGAATCCTGTTGAAAAGCTGTCCGCATTTATATCTGCTAACCTTGTCTTAAGACAAATTGTCTCTCCTATGAAAAATATCTAAATCCTATACAATGTAATTTTTCTATTTATTAAATCCCCAATAAATCAAATTTAACTAATATTATGATTACAAAATAGATGTGAAAAACAAAAGGATATAACAAAATGCATCAAGCGAAAGCATATAAGCTCATTAAAATCCAAAACTCCAAATAAGTGTTTCTTAAAGAAACGTTGATTTAATTATCATTTCTGTTAATCTCAGTCTCTAAAACTATATTTAAATATTTAAAAACATATTTTAATTATATATATATATATATATATATATGTATGTATGTATTATGTTAAAAAAAAATAAACATTTTTATCAAAATTTTATTATTATTATTTGTTACTTTAACTTAATTCTAAAAATGAAAATTAACAAAACCGTTAAATTATAAAAATTTAGTGTTAATTTAGCAAATAATATTAAAGTTTTTTATTAGTTTCACATTCTCTTACATAACTCATGCAACATCAATCATCACCATTCCTTTCCTCTCGCCATCTTTTTCACCAAAAAATTATTTGGAAGCAAAAGTAAATGAAACAAACATTGAATTCCAAAATATAATGGTGTTAACTTTACACCTAATATCTGAAAAAGTGTATGTTGAAAGTTGAAACCTGTATTGCTTAATGAAGTTTCTTACCTCTGTAACAAATATTTTTGGTGGCATCAGACAAATTAATTAGAATCAAATTGCCTTTCAGTATTAATATAACATGCCAACATCCCTTGTCCTTTTCCTTTACTGCATGGGTTGTATATCATACAAAACTACTTGATCAAAGTTTAAAAGCGATACCCATAGAATTGTTAGGAGGAGATTGGGGGAATTAACTATTGGTCCATTCTTGGGTAAATTAATCGACAATATCTTTGTCATAAGAAACAGTTTTGGAGAAACGCATGAACGAAGGAGAGGACAAGGCAAAGGGAATAAATTTGTTAATTTCTTATTCATTTTCCCCTTTCATGAATCTGATTTTCCTGTGATGGTAACATTTGTATTATGATGAGTTTCATTAAGCGAGCGCCACATTGACCAATGACCATTGTCACCTATTTTAAAATACCCATGCTTGTATATGGAGACATACAACCAATTTATGTATTCTAACATAATTTTTAATATAAAACTATTAATTTCTTAATTAAGAGCGCCGGTTGACGAGATATTTATAATTCTATTTCTTTTCTACTTTTTATCAAAATTTTAGTTGAAAGGCATTTGAAAAAATTTATGAAAATAACTAATACTTTTATAATTTTTTTAAACTTATTTTAATAAACTCGTTTTTTTTTAATCTTGTTCTAATAAATTTAATAGTAAAATTTAAAACGTTTGCTTTTATTTTAAAAAAATATTTAATTAAATTACATATGCGAAGGCACACTAGGTATTTTGGAGACTGTCAGAATCCTGAATTGGGTACCCTTCCATGATGTAAATAAAAAGCAAGTTTCAATACCCACATGGGAGGTATTGAATTCTGGTGACTGATTGCTGAAATTTTTGAAATAAATAAATGGAAACATCATGTGGTAAACTTTAAAGGCATGTAGCAGCAAATGTTGAAGCTTTTAGGTGGTCCTCTGATTCAATAATCAATTGCCTTTGGTGGCAAATTAACCCTACCCCTTCTCTCTAATACCATTTTTCCTTGATGATCCTCAATTCCTGATATGGGGTCGAGGAGAAAGAGGCACCACTATTGATAGCGATGAAACTAAGGCACACTCGTGTGCTCTCTGCCACCGAAAGTGAGAGGTAGTTTTTGTCTCAGCCTCAGAACACCCATGACACGTGTCAATTTATTAGTGGTTCATGCCATTTGCCCCATGTGGAGGGGCATGTGAACTATTGAGCTAAGCTTTTCAGAAACGCCCAAACAAAGTTCCTCTTTTTTATTTGTTATGTTTTGGGGTCTGTTCTGTGATGGGGGCTTTCGGGGCCTGGCTGGTAGAGAAGTTTGGAAGAGGATGTTAATGGGAGTGGGGTTATATAAAAGAAGATAGAAGAAAGAAGAAAGAGAGTGATTTCAAAATGCCACAAGTGTCGTACAAAGTGGGGGCGACAAGCCACATGGGGCCATAGTGATGTGTCGAATAAGCATGTTTTTGGCACTTTCGGCAAAACTTTAGTTTAGTGGAGTTACCTATGCAATTTCAATGCCAAATTTAGAGTGCATTTACAATTATGATACTGGAATTATAATTAATAACGTTAAGATAAATGTAAAATGTAAATATATATCGATTTAAATGTGAATTTAATCGAGCACTCACATATATACGCACTTGCTTGGGCCTATGCACATAAAGACCAATAAATTCCAAGTGTTCAGTGGCTTGCTAGAATTCAATTTAGTACCAACAAATATCACGTGTTAGGATGTGTATGCAGTTTAAAACAGTGGTGAATTTAGCAACATAAGATCAGACCAATTAAGAAAAAGCTGTCGTGGCCCATTGCAGTAACCCTTTAAAATCTGCACACACAACCAAGCAATAGCTAGCGATTTGAAGCCCTAACCAGTTGTGACCTACTTACAGTGCAAACCATGAATTCCTCACCTTCGCATATTTATTACCCTTTGGAAGCTTCTTAGCTATAACATACATACTTCATCACATTACCCTAATACTATACAATTTGTGCTTAATTAATCAATCGTTTAATTTAAGCAAGAAATGAGTGCTACAACCTTTTCTATTTAACTTCCTTTCAGAATCAAAACAGAACCATAGACAAGATTCACCATCCACACATAAAAAAGAAAAAACAAGGGAACACAACTTTTTGCTATAAGGCACAAAAGCTTATAACTGATGTTACATTACGATAAATCATCCTTGTTTAAGGAAGTTAAAAAGGCTATTTCTGATAAACGTTCCAAGCTAAGTATGTGATTAAATTGCTTGAAAGGTAAAATAAAAATGAAAAGAAGATATATATAAGTATGTACTCAACAATTAACATAATAAACCTTTACTTGCAAGAGAGGGTGAAGAAAACGAGGCAAATAATAACAAAAATTAAGAACGGGAAAAAATATGTGACACGTGTCATCAACTCGGCGGCGCATAGGCGGAGGAAGAGGCGGCGGCGGCGGAGGAAGAGCCGAAGAGTAAGTCAGCGAGAGCCGTCATGGCTCGAACCTGCATCTCAAGTGCGGGTATGTAATCAATGGCTTCTTCGAGTATAACCGGAAGCGGTTCTTTTCTGCAACCGGGAACCAACCGGCCCAGGACCTTAACCTTTCGCTGAACCGTTGGGAGGGTTTTTCCCTTGAGCCGGAGAACGCTGAACCGGGTTTTTTTGGACCGGGCCGGCGCAACAACCCGCTGTCTCTTGTGGGGCTGTTTTCTGAACTTGAGCTTGAGCCGGTTCGTGAGGATGGCTCGGCTCCACCGGGTTTTACCACGGGCAGCGACGGCGAGGACCCTATCGGCGGCTTCCCGGACGGCTCTCCCGCGGCGCGGTGCGTCGCCGGAGATGTTGACTCTGGCTAAGGCTTGGTGGAGCTTGGAGGAGTAAAGCTGTTGCTGCGCCTGCGATCTCCATTTGGCGTGGCTCGGCTCCTGTGGATGCTTGGGCTGGGATTTCTTCTTCTTCCTTGTTCTGTGCGAGTCACGAGACCGATCCGTGGTAGCCGGTGGGTTTGAGATGAGAGATGACGCCATGAGGCAACGCTAATTCTGAAGGGGAAAACTGTTGAATTGGGGTTTTAGGAAAAGGCGTGTTGGAAAGTTCTAATCTTTTGAATTGTGGGTGTGAGAGAAGTATGAGGGAAAGGGTAAGAGTTTTTGGATTCAAATGGATAGATACGGTTTCAGGAGTTACAGATTCGAAGGAAAGAGGGAAATTTTGGTTAAGATTCTAGAAAGAGAAATTGGTGAAGTGAATGAGTGAGGTTTGAAGGGTTATATATATATATATATATATATAGGTGGAGGAGCTTCTTCAGAGGTGATATGATCCAACAATAGAGAGAGAGAGAAAGAGAAAATGGTTATCACTGGAAATGAATTATGAATGAATGAATGAATGATTTTTGGAGGTTAAGAACGAAACTGAGTGGGTGAGGTGTCCCTTCACTCCCAAGTTGAATTGAAGGGAGAGAGAAATGGTGGACGATACTTATATAAAGGAATCACCACACACCCACGCCTCCTTTTCTTTTTCTTTTTCTTCTTAACCATATTATTTAAGAATTTACATGAAATACATTCTTTTATAAAAATATTCAATTGAGTTTTAGATACTAATAATTTTTTATTAAAAATATGTATTTATTATATTTTTTTATAATTTTTATATGCTTAACTTTAATTTTAAGCATTAAAAATAATATTTTTATATTATAATAATTATTTTTATACAATAAGTAATTTTTTATAAAATAAAATTTCATTCAAATTTAATAAATCATTATAAATAATAAAAATTTATCTCTATAAAATAATTATGAATGATTAAATACACTATTTAATTATATAATTCTTATTCATGCATTTCTTTTTCATATTTTGGGTTTTGTATCCTCGGCTTTTCAGATGTTGGGCCTTCGAACTCTAGTTTGGTTTGGTAGTTGAATAGTTCCATTTTCTGCTCTTGTTTGCTTGAGCCCGTGTTACTACTCTCCAGTAAGTTTCACTGTTACCAAGATATGAACAAAGAGTTTAAAGTAAGAGTTAAAATTGTGCAATGCTTGTTTCGTGTGTTGTAAACAATTTGTCGATTGAACAAACCGTAACTTGGTTGAATTTTCACTTTTCAGTTCAATCATGCATTGTGTTATTCAATACCCAACATACTCTTACAGTAGTTTAGTAAAATTAGTTCATTTTAATTTTGGGTCTCTAAAAAACATTTTTTAATTTTATTGAAATTCATATTTTTAGTTTTTATTGTTCGATTTTCTCAGTCAAGTAATAGTGAGGCGTTGTTAGGATATACCACGTGTTCGATCTTTAGTTATCTTTCTTTTGTTCCTTGACTCATTTTCCTCTCTTTTTATCTCTAAGACAGCTTTTATGTGGCACCCACAATGGATTAAACATGTCATGTTAGTGATTAGTGATTAATGTTAAATTTTTATGTGACAAAAATGATTGTATATTTGATTAATTTTTCTTATAAGAAACTTGTTAACATGTGGGTGGACAGAGATCTGAAAAACATGATTGGAAACCTAACCTTTCTTTTTTCATGCAACTTCTCTAGAAGGTGTAGCAGCACACATGCAAGTTCGACTTCTTCTAAATTAAATAGCTATCGGCAAACAGCAATTATAGGAACAACCGTATCCTCCAAATCACATCCAACATGTATGTATATATATTTGTCTTCATAAAACTTTTCTAAAATTCTACTCACTCATCTATGATTTAATTAGGTTATAGGAAAAGACATACCAATATAGAACGAGTTATTAAATGGTAAAAATCATGTTACTTGAGCAATTCAACCAATAACCTAGCTTTTTCTGTTTTTTGGCTTCCTAAATTGGGTGAAGGTTTATTAATTTCTATATTCAAATCTTACGATGGACCCAAGATCAACTCTCGTGGCTAAAATCATATTTTTCAAGTAGTTTTTTTCCTTAAACTTTCAAAATTTAAGTTACATCCTAGTTCGATTAATCTAATTGGAATTGAGTAAATTTATATTAAAAAGTAAAACTCTACCAATACTTATTTATTTTATTTTATTCATAAAATCGAACTTAAAACTTTAAGTAAACAAAACTCCTTAATGCTTGAATATAAAAGTATTTGGCCTTTTAAATTAGGGTTAGCCTAGGCTAAAGAGCAACTAAGGCCTTTATTTAATCCTTTAAATATTGTTAAGTTTTAATGTTTTTAATAAATAAATAAAAAAGTTATTAATTAATCGATTAGTAGCATTAGGAATTATTATTATTATTATTATTATTATTATTATTATTATTATTATTATTATTATTACGTCCCTTGCTGTAGCTTACTCTCTTCTAATTAATAACTGTCTCATTGGTAAATTTTTCTAACCTATGATAAATGTTGGAATAGATCAAAACAGCAAAGTATTAAAAAATTAATTACTTAATATGCTTTTAAAATATTATAAATATTATTTGCTTTCAAATTTCAATGTTTTTTAGAATCAAAAGTTTCAAGGAAAATTATATAACTGAAAACTTATATACTAATTGACATATTTAATTACATAATAATATTAGATTTATAGCTTATATAATAATGTTAACAATTTCAATAATAATTACTTTAGGGGAAAGAAGTTTTTAGAAACTAATTTAACAAAATCTAACCTTAAATTCATAGCATCTTAACTATAATAACACAATAACAATAACTAAAATAAACAAAATTAACTATTATTCAAAAAGGTTTAATATATTTTTATGATTTTTTTATTTAGTCCCTTAAAAAAATAGTTTTAGTCATAATAATTTTGCAAAACTTTTGTTTTGATGTCTTTCATTGACGTTATCCTAAAAAATTGACACACATACCAATTTTTTAATTTATTACGTTATTGTTTAAAAGTTAAAATTAAAAGTGTTAAATTTAATATAAAATATATTCAACATTATTATAAAAAAAAAAGATGCATAACTACTTAATTTTAAATGTATTTCACAATGTCAATAAAATTTTCCATCCTTTAAATTAGAATGTAAAATGCAAATGTTTGTCTACCGTCTACTAACCTAGACAATAATAACAAATTCAATGAAGTTAGCGACTACTGTTTACAATTCCTTGTTTAATTGTAATTAGGAGTGTAAGCTGATACAGGAATATCTAATGACTCGATGAATTTAATTTAAATTAAAATAAAAAATTTTGAATTGGTTCATATTATTTGTTTAATTTAATTTAAATAACATATATAATGTAATTAGTTTGAGTATCGAGTTTTAAGGAACAAATTCAATTAATTAAAGACCTAGTCTGATTGATCTATTATCCAATGTTCAAAAATATTTCCTAGTACTTAATATAACCAAAAATGATCAAACGACTAAACAAAAAACATATGATTAGATATATAGCGCACATAAATTATTCATAATTTTTTATATACTTCTCAATATATATATATATATATATATATATATATATATATTATATTTTTTCTCTATATTTTGAAAAAAAAAATATAGACCCAATCAGTCAAACCAAACTAACCCCATCATGATTGGGTTGATTTGTTTTTAAATAGTTTGTTAAAGTTACACCAAAATTGAATCCAAACGAAATTAAATTTGGACATATTTTTTACTTTGACTTGAATCTGAAGTTATATTCCAATTGTAAGAGTAACATTTGGTTGAATATCGATGACTGAACATTAGAAAAAATTCTTGCTACCTTTACTCCTTTTTATTTATCTATCTATCTTTTAGAAAAATTAAGACAAATTTAATTACTATTTTCTTAATAAAATAATCATTTTACTTAATTTTTAACATTTCAAACAGTTATCTTCAATAAGAAAATATATTTAAAATATCAAATCTTAATTAATAAGAGAGATAATTAATATAATAAATTTTTAAAAATAATTTTAATTCAATAAAATTGTTAATTATATTTATAAATCTGTTAATTAATAAAAGACCAATAAAAGTAATGGGCGATAGTAATAATAATGATAAAGTATATACTAAAGATAACTAAAAAATATTTATAATGGTATACGAACAAATTATAAATCACTTACTAATAAAGTATAATTAACAGGAAATAGATCAGCTTCTTGAGTCAATGCAGAAAGCAAAGTTTAGGCCGTGCACTGCAGTGCCCCTGCATGACCAGTACATTCATTTAATCCTATGAAGTCTTTATATCTCCCACCCAACTTTGCCTCAAAATCAAAAGCAACATGATGCCCATCAACCCGAAAGCTAACCAAGATCAACTTTGACAAATTCTGACAATATTCGAGTTTCGGTGCACTGGTTTCTTTATGATGAGCAATTCCATCACCCATTTGCAGGGGGGCATGTTGTCGTTTTCCTATTGACTGAATTTTTAATTTCTTTACATTCCGTGCAATGATTATTGGGTGTGATGATCTGCTTACAGGAACAATAAACAAGGGGGAGAGGCATGTGCTTTGTGGGTTGTGGCACTTTTCTCTCCCTAGCATTGTTTTGAATTTTGGTTGTGGCTTTGGGTTTTTACTCCTCTGGTGTTGTGGATAGTTTATGCTTCACAATTCCTGAAGTGGGCCCCCACTGACCAATGCCATATATACTTTATCAATATAATCCCCAATAATTTCACAATTAGCCCATGAGAACCAAGCAAAAGAAAAATGTGGTGTCTCATCTTGCTTTTTAATTCTTATTTCAGAGCAGGCTTCCCACCAAGCTCCCATTCTCACTTATTCAGCTATAATAATGCTTGGTGCAAATTCAGGGGTCCAATGTCCTGTCCCTACAATGAACGAAGCTCAGGACTCGAGACACCATAGTCCACAGAAGAATCTAGAAAGCTACTCGCTTGATAGTATCATTAGTACTAAGGGATCATTAAAAGTATAAAATAAAATAAAATCATATCTGATAGATGAAAAAATTGATGTAACGAAAAAAATATTTAGAGGCGTATAACTATAACATAGCTATGAAAATTTAGGTTCGGAACTATCAGAATAGTTGAAGGTAAGTGCCAATAAGATTGCGGATGATTTTGTAATTTTATTCATGGTTAGGACAACAGCAGCCTACAGGCATAGAAATTGTCATGTAGGTTATTGCGAAATCTGAATATTCAAATTATTCGTTGAAATATGTAAAAGCAAAAAGTAATTTTAAAAGTATGATATTATTAATCTAGACTAAGTTCAAGCATTAAAAATTAAGTTGTTATTGAAAAAATATATTTATTATATTAAAATTATATAATAATAATAAATATTTTTTATAATAAAATTTTAGTATCATTAGTAGTTTAAACTCAACCTTAAAAAACGAGGTTAACATTTTTTTAAATTAGAAATAAAGTAATTCAATATTGTTGGCATGAGTTGTCAAATTAGTAGTAAATATAGAATTTCTTCTAGCAAGATATTTTTTTCATGATCCTAGCCT